GTTATCAGTTCGATGCAAATTATGGTAGCTCCGTTTCCAGGTATTGATATCTATGTAGAAAATACATTTTCGCATTAAACTCTTAAATGCTTATTGATGTCTCAAATTCTCTGTTAAGTCTCCAGATTTGAAGTAGCATGTTCTTTGTTTCCTTTCGCGACTGGAATTTAGAAATTACCTTAAAAATAGTAACTAGCTGGCTAAAAGATAATAAAAGTTAGGTGAAAAGAACTGCTATCCATGAAGCAATTTCTAAGTAAATATTTCAGATTACTCTTTTATGATAACAAGCTCCTATAAAATTAAATTAATAAAAATGATGACTATCGTAAATTTATATTTTTTATTTTACTGCTTTGAGATTACAAACTTATATAAAATTTAATTAATATTAATAAGCAATAATCAACTTAATTAATTTAATTGTCATAAAATATTTGACTTTAAAAATGCAACCAATCATTTTGCTTTAAGATCCATACCGCATTATACGCTCCATTACGTTCACGTTATGACGAATAACGAAATGAGTTTCGAAAATCTAACGTCATTATTATCGTAATATTGAAATATCTTCTAAGTTTATGATTTGCACTTTTTACGGCGGTGATACATGTGAAACACACAAAGTTGTAAGTGCAATTTGTACTTACATTCCTATAACACTATGTAACACAATAACACTCCTATTACTCCTACAGCACTTACAATTCTATAAAGAAACATTATTTTAAACAAAATTTCCAACAGTAATACTATAAGTGATATTTTCAGTGAGATGCTAAAGATGTGGAGCCAAACTTACAAGACTGATGGGAAATAACGTTCATGGACGGAAATTTTAAGAAGTAGTTTGCTGAAACCTCATATGAGATATATACAATTGCCGAAGAATAACGTTCTTACTTGCTTCTTTCAAAATTAACTTTAATGTTTAATTTATGTAGAAAACAAAATTTAACTAACATGGTATGTTTTTTAACATTACAGAACACACATTTTTATTCAATTACATTTATATACATAGCAAGAAACATTTTCTATCTTAACATGAATTTCTGTATAAATTATTAATGGAGGCCTAACTCAGCTAATCCAAGGTACAAACAAAAAAAAACTCAAATATTTTTATCAATTTCAGAAGATAAAGTTATCGAAAGCAAAAGTTAAGTACATTATTAAACATTAATATGGTTTAGGAATAATGTTTGCATAATCTGTAGCACTTTGTAGAGACCCCACGGTTTCTCAGAGCAGGAAAAGAGAAAAATTGCCGGTATTCTAACCACTCATCTTCGGGTTGCTATCTGGGCGTGCTTACTTACCCCACGTTAGCACATATGAAGGGTCCCCTCTGTTCCAAAGAGTGGCTGAGGAGAAGCATGAGATCAAATAAAGGTGGTGGAGATTTAGCGCCCACCACATTTTACCTTCTGATATTGTATAAAGTACTAAATTTTCAGAGTAGGGAACGTGAAAGTCTATTAGAGGTCACATACATCACAAAAGCATTGACCGAAGAATGGAATGATCGCTTACAAATTCTCAAACAAATAAATTTCTTTGATTTTTTAAAGGCATTAATATATACAAAGTTATATTATTTTATTCTATGTAAATTTTCTTAAAATGTTTATAGTGTCTAATTCCTTCAATAAATATATCACACTGAAAAATTTGATTCCGTTGTTCACTAATGTTGTTTGAGGTATTGATGCATTAAAGGTGGATTATAATTAATTCTACTTAAAACATCTTCTTAGGGATTTATAAAGTACATTAAGAATATGAAAAAAAAAACCTAATTTAATCGTTATTATTTAGAGAAACCGAACCTATTCATCAGACTGCGAAAGAAATTATGTTGGCTTTTATATAACAAACTTTAAACGATACGTGGTATCTAAATTTTTAACTTCATGAATTTGTTATTTCCCTACGTTGCCGAAAGTTTACAATGTTGACACGTTACCACAAATGCAAAGACTAGTAAACTGCTATACGATATTTCTTATATGAAACGCGTATTTATTTTTATTGTGACAAATATATCATCTTCGTGATGTCCAGATTTGTTTAAACACGGAATGAAGCTATTACTGCTTGACTTGTCCGTTATCACGGAACTATCAAATGCTTATTCATACGTTTCTTCCTCGTTCTAAAACAATGATGGCAAACAACTAATACTTTTTCAAGCTGTGTACAAATTATTTATTCATTGAGAGAAAGTTTACCGACTTTTAGAATAAAACAATAAATCCACATTGCGAGTAGGAACTGTAGCGTCGATTCGGATGGTTAAGCCGTTCGTGACAGTTGGTACTTCAGCACAAAATTATATGTTTGTGTATGTTTCTGGGAGCTATATGTTGCCAGGTTGCACCAGGAAATTCTTCTCAGAGTTGTGCTTGGTTGACATGTAAATAAAACTCAGGTTTACTTAGCGAACTTAAGAAACCTCTTGCAAGAAACTAACATTCCTTGCAAATATGTAACAAAAAGTTTTGTGAAAAGATAAATAATAGATTCCGCCGTATTTAAAAAACTTCTTGCAAAGTCTGAAGAATTACTCGAGCTCACCGAGAAATTAAGGCACAGCCTTCAAGTAATTTATCTAACCTCGACGAGATAGGAAATTTGCAATTGCAGTAGTAATTGCGGGTGCCATTTTGAAAATGATCTGCTATCTGATTCTCTGAAAGCATATATAAATATCCGGTGCAACAAGTAAACATTAAATATGAATTAATGTATCCTTAACGTCAATAATAATAACGCTGAGGAAGAGAGGTATTTAACCGCGAAGTTCTACTGTCTTAGCGAGACAGAACCACAGATTCTGACTAACACGCATCCGACGTTTTAGGCTACTCTCTCTTAAGTTATTATTACGCTTGGCCGTACTTAAGGACCTTAATAGCTTCGCAGTCAATTAGCGTTAAGGAGCCAACTTCGTTAGAATCTTGATAGCTTCGGCTATATCTTTCTTAGTTAAGATTAGTTTAGTTTAGTTCTTAGTCTCTTAAGTTCAAGCCCGAGTGTCGGCTTTATTGTACAACTCCAAGATGGAGTTCTGTTACACCTGATTGGAATAATAAAGGGTTATTTCAGCCTTCTAGCTTGTTGCATCCTGTCACATGAACTTATGCGATTATTCGCTTATCAGTTCTTAAGATTCTTCGCATTCAACTGTAACTTAAAGTAAACAGCACAGAATCTTTACAAGTTAAAAATAATTTTAAAAAATAGTAAGTAGTAATATTAAAAATATAGTGTAATTTCTGCATTCAGAATTTTCCTAACTTTCAAGTGCTTCCACTATGTGTACTGTTGTTATTAGAAGGTGTTAAATCAATGCATGTTATTTCGCACCGCATCCAGAATAAAAATACAGTAATCTGTAAATGCCAAATAATCGGTGCATAAGATTATAATTGAGCAAAATGGCCTGTAAGTGGTAAATCCACTACTGGTTATATTAAATTGGAAATTATTTGCTACCGTATTTAATGGAAAAATAAACATTCGATGTAAATAAACATTTAATGGGAAAAAAATAATAATTTTATTTTAAATAGTGCAGAATAAATACTGTTAGATAACATCTGTTTCTATAATAAAGAACAATGAATGTTTCTAATAATCGATATTAATTGTGTTTGACAACAACGTATTAATTGTGTTTGACAACAACGTATTAATTGTTTTCATTGTCAGTAACATATATATTTATTATTAAGAAAGCAACTTTTTTTGTACTAATAAAAGTATAATAAATATTTGCAGCATGCAAAGATACCTTTTCTGGGAGAAATGAATCTCGAAACGTCAACTACTCTTTGCGGACAGTTACTCTACTACTTAGCCATAAAACATCTTGATAATGATTCTTAATTTCTTTTCAAACTTTGTGAACATTAGCAAGAAATATGTTAACATAATTTGTAAAGATAATAACATGAATATTGCTCTAAAAATGACATTAAAAATAACCGCTAAAATATTTTTGGTTTAATATTATAGCGCTTTACAACATTTATTCTTGTTTTATCTGAGTATAATATTCAGGGGGGATATAAAGGAGATTTTATTGCGTTCACGAAATGCCTCTCTCCAAGCAAATTTCAGTGATAGATATCATTGTAGACCTATGAAAATGCTTAGGAAAAGATGAAATATAAAAAAAAGCATCCAAATTTCTTTTTCATAATTTATCCATCTTTTTTATACTTTCTGCTCGGATGAAATTCGCTATATTTTATTGCCCAGTTGTTTCGCTGAACGGTGCCGATATTTATTTCCTAACGTTTCGTGAATGACGGGAAATTTATTTTCACTGTTTACACATATTAGTAGTTGCCCTTGTATATGTAATCTGATATATTGTTTGTTTTATGAAAATATATTGATATAATGCACTTTTATCTAATATGGCATAATTAGATTACGGATTGAGCTTCAAGTTGGCATTTTCACACCTGCGTTAAAATATCGAAATATATTCATTATATAATATTTTTATTAGACGACAGTAGAATTATTTAGTGTTAGAATAGTGCCTTCTGAATGCTAAACGTTTTTGTGATATATGAATATTTTTTAACGTTAAGTATAACACAAGACTGTTTGAAAATATACCTAATAAAACATAATTTGCAATAATGTTTTTGTTATTTTTATTATTTTAAATATAACATAAAACTACAAATATGCGTTATTATAAATAAGTTGGCTTGCTTCAAGTTAATGCTGCAAATTTACAAAATTCTTCCAGAATTAAAATAGACAGTTTGTTGAATTCAGCTTCTACATAGAATAGCAAGTAGGAGCGGGGCAGTTAAAGAGTGTGTTGGTGTATTTAATTATGGCAAAGCACACGAGGGCTATCTGCCTAAGGGAAGGGATGCCTTCGTGGAGGACTTTCTAAGGGAAACTGGCTCGTATACACGGGAAGTTAAAGAGAACTAAGAATTAACTAGTGTAGTCAGCTCCCGATTTATCGGTGGTCGACGAACCAGTTTTCAGATTAATCTGGGCCATAAGTGTAATTTTTTTATTGCAAGATGATGGAAAAATTACTAACGAAAATCATAAGAATATTCTTCAATGCAATTTATCTAGTTGGCAAAAAAGTAATTTCGGTTTTTAGTGTGAAATAAAACTCAATTATTTCTATATAAAAATCAACTTTAATCATTCAAATATCTTCCAAGCTGTTCGATGACCCTTTGCCATCTTTCTGATAACTTCATGATTCCACTCTCGCAGAACTTTTGGCATTTATCAGCAAAAATTCAACCAGGGTCATCGTTATTACTGACATTTCACCATTTAAGAAGTTTTGCAAACTTCGAAATAAAAGGTAATCCGTTGGTACAAGGTCGGGCTAACTGGGAAATGCGACATCACTTCCTAACCAATCTCCAATAATTTTGTACGTGTTACTAAATATAAATGAGGCATCGCATTGTCGTGGTCGAAGACGATTCCTTTACTATTTGCCAATTATGGCCTTTTCCCTTTGATTGCTTCCTGCAGTTTCATAAGTTGTTTTCAGTAAACATCCGAGTTGATCGTTTGGTTGCTTGGAAGCATCTCAAAATACCAAACGCCTTTGAAATCCCACCAAATTGAAAGCATGATCTTTTCTGGTGCAGTTAGCTTTCGATGTGATTTGTGCTGATTTATCATACTTGATCAATGATCGTTTTCGATTAACGTTATTGTAGACAATCCATTTTTCCTCACCAGTGATAATTCGTTTCAAATAAGGGTCGATTTCAATCTTTTTGAAAGACGTAACGAAAATATTGAATCGTTCTATTAGATAAATTTCTTTCAACTCATACGTAACCCGAATATCTAACTTATTAAAGAATTCAAAGCATCTTATGTGATTTTCAATTGATGAGTGTGCTACATTTAACCTTTTTGCAGTCTCTTTCCCAGTTATATGAGGATTCGATTCATTTGTGGCTTTAAGTTGTTTTATCATCAATTTCAGGTAGTCAGCCAGAATACTATCGATAGTTGCCTTCAAGTGAAAAATCTCCAGAACGAAAGTTTTTAAACCAATTTTGGCACATCCTGCTTCTGTTAAGCAATCAGCACCATAAATTTCACATGTCGCTTTGTGAGCCTCAGTCATTTGCTTGCCTTTCTGAAAATAAAAATGTTAAATATATCGAAAATGTTCATTTGTGCACCCCGTGTTAAAATTGACTATAAACTAATAGTTATAAACCAAAATACGCGGAATTTGTTTCTATAATAACTTAAATGTATCAGCTGCAAAATCTCAAAAGAAAAATTGTATAAGATTGGCAGAAGAATGACAAAACGAACATAACGCTGTCTGTTTATGCAAACCGAAATTACGTTCTCACGAAAAACCCAATACATTAATTTCTAATAATTCCAGTTATTTAAGACGTATTATTTATTTTTAATACTGATTTGCTTTACGTAACTAAAGGAATTTATTCTCCAAATTTAACTGAGAAAAATGCAGGTAAATTGTTAAGAGTACTTTTTTGTTAATTATAATATGGACTGTTACTTAACTGCCCTCGAATTAACCATGATTTTGAGTTAACTAACTGTGTAGATGTCGTCTCTGGTATTGTGTTACTAAAGCGAGGAGTAACTCTCTTTAAATTCGTCCATCTAAAATATTTGCTTGCACAGTTTAAAAATTACGTTAAAATTTTTCTTAGGAAAGTTGGTCACTTTATGCTGAACTTGGTATGTGAATAGAAGTAAATTGAATAAAAGAATTATCTCTATTGAATACTACCTTATTTACTGTGTCATGAAGTTTAGGTAACAATTTACGAATGAATACGAATACGACGACTCTCCGCTTTTAAATGAAGACTCGTGCAATTATTATTTACACCAGTAAATAAGAAATGAACGAGTTTGTTTCTCAAGGGAGACATAACATTTAATTTGGCCTTAATAATAAATTACTTGATTTTGAATAGTACAAGAACTCTTTATGGCACAGCTTTAGGAAGAGTTTCGAAAAGGGATGCCTAGTAGAATTGCTGATGTTCAGGAGTAGTCTAGCGCTTTTATTCTACACGAAATATCTGAACTCGATTTTGAGGATTTGCGAATGTCTAAACTAGTGCTTTATCGACTTAATTGTCCTTAAATGAGATGAAAAACAATTTGTGATGCATGATGTATCATTGTCATAATTTCCTGCGTATCGATGGATACAAGTCCAAAGCTATCGGAATAAAATCCAAAAGCATTTCTAGTACAAATCAATTTTGAAATTTTCCATAAAAGCATTTAAAAATAAAAATCATGATTACAATTTTATTTTGAATTTAACTCAACAATATACACCATATCCTTAAATGTTATTAAGCTATATGTTTATGTTATTTTGGTTGGTATTTACCAAACGTTGGTGGTAGATAGGTACTTTCAGTTACAAAAATGCTTTAAATAAGAAAAATGTTTATGCTAAGTCATTTTTAAATTAAAAAACTAATTTTACAAAATTGCTAAGGCTAGTATTTTTATGGATCCCCTTGGCTCATTTTGTTTTGTTTAGCAAAAGTGTGTACTTTTCTATAAAAGGGTTTGTCTCTCGTACAGCAAAAAATACATACCCCGTAAAGCGAAACATTTAATTTCTAATTTTAATAATATTTTCATGGGCGGTGCGCACAGCGAAATATTTAAACTAAATATGAAATATTAGTTTACAAAATGTTTCTTGATGATGATAGATTAAGTGGCAAACACTGCTGAGTAGACTGCCGTCAAATGTTTTGATCAATATAAAGTTCTTCACTAATGCAGTCTTATGCAGCAAATCTTAAAGAATTCCTATTTTAGAAAATGCTGCACTGATTTCACTGTTGGAGAATAGTCAAATCGTTACATTATTTATATAAAAAATGAGAAGTATTTCAAGTTTAATTTATCGTGTGAGATTATTAGATGATGATTCTAGAGTAATGAAAGTGCATCAGAATATTAATAGCACATTTTTAGCATTTAGAAACTTATAAATTACTTGGGTGAAACTTTTTCTGTGTACCATATGTAACGAAACTGTAAATTAAAGAATGTTACAGAGTACTAAATTATAAAAATATTCCATTGAATACTATGGTTTTGGTTTATGTGATTACAGTAAAGACTTAAGGGCTATCTACCTAAGAAGTCTTGAGTTCTGGAGGAAGTTTTAAGGGAAACTGGCTCATATATGCGTTACACATGGGAAGGGCCACGAGGGCGTCCTTGCAGCAGGCCCGTTGGCAGGATTCAAGCCTCGGACCAAACTAGCAGTGTTCAGCGACTCTACCGCTCAGCCTTTGGCTGGAGCATTAACCTTTTGCAGCACAGTGTGTCCGTTGTGGACACACCTAAAAATTTCCTTCTGTACGCAAGGAAAAATTGAATGAAAAAGGATTTATAGGCTACTGTAGGTTACTCTGATCTTTCTTTATTTATAGTAGATGGCAGTTCAACACAAACCAGTCCATATATTTTAGCAATATTTAGTTTTTTAAGACTCTCATTTTTCAAAGTAATCTTCCAGATTTTTTAGGGTATAAAAGGAATTGTTTGAAAAGAAATTTCTATGTTATTTTTTTGGCTCTATGCTAATCTCCTTATTCTATATTAGTTTCAAATTTTTACCTTGAAATCTTGCCTAAAATCAAACGGCGAACCCTAGGGTGCTCAGACTGGGCTCACCGATAATCTAGAACAACTGAGAGTCTGTATTCTTTGTTTCTCCGCATCTCATCGGTCAGTTCATCGACAACAATGCTCGTTTCAGCACTCTTTTCGAAGCTCTATTCAATCTGTGTGCCACTTTGAGCACACCCACAGAATTAAAATGATAAGTACTATCTTCACAAAATTTTACTTGTGTACACCTCTAGGCCTAATTACACTGCCTACCTTTTTTTTTTTTTTTTTTTTTTTTTTTTTTTATCAAAACTCCGACTTTAAAAGGTAGCATGCCTGAAAGGGTTAAGTACTGTTAAAATGAGAAAAACTGCGAATTTTTCTAACATATTTAACCTACATCTCAAGGCAAACTGAAAGGTTGCTAACAGTCTCAAATTTTTAAATTAAATATCACTAAATTAATAAAAATATCATTAAATAAATAAAAATATCACTAAATAAAAGGAGCGAAAATCCTTATATGTTGGAATTTCTAAATTATGCAAAATTCATCTTTTAAATATAAAAGCGCCAAAATATTTTTTATGAATATTTACGGGATTAGAAATACTTTTATAAGTGTATGTTTAAGATCAATGCTTGCAAAAATAAAGGCTATTTAGAGAGTTTTGGGGACATCTTGTGTATTTTAGTTATTCTTTCCATTACTAGTTTTGTGTCAGAATCACTGCACACATTTTAGAACTATGTGAATCTATTTAATTCGAAAGAAAGACGAATGAGATTAAAATATAGCAGGTGAAGTAAATCTGAGTTAAATAAGTGAGGAGCTACCATTTTTGCGATTAGATCGGCATCTTACGTGGTTGTGCTGTAGAAAGCTAAATTTGCTGCACATGAATGGATTCCTTAAATGAATATAGACAGTTTCAGAGTTAATGATTAATTTTATTCCTTACATTTTTAGAATTATTTAGAGTTACCAGATATCGATTAACAACAGGCAGCAGGAAGGCGTATTTTTACATGGACATTGATTTTCATCAGATCTGCACATAGATGTTTGCACTTGAAAGTTGCAGGAGTTGTAATAATTTTGCTTTAAATGTAATTTAAGATTGCTCATTACATTCGTCGGAAGAAAATGAAAGCTAACCAGTGGGTTAAAATTATGTCTTAGGTGTTAAAAGTTCAGTATCTGTATTAAAATATCCAAGTATCAATTTATAAAATTATAGAAATCACAAAATATAAAATTTAACTTCCAGTACATTAATGTAATATGTTTCATAATATGACTGGTAAATTTCGTTCATATGAGACCTTAGCTTGCTAATAAAGTATGTATCAGCAATAAAAGTTGTTTTTCTTTGCAACTTTAGTCAACTAACTATTAGCCGGAAAGACGGCCAAGTTTAACACGAAATCATTAACTTGACAGCAGTTTTAAAACAAAACAAAAAAAAAAAAAATCTCATTTTCAAGCAATTTAATTTAAGAATAAATTCATTATACTACCTAAATGAAATAATATAAAATGAAATTTAAATAAAATATGACAAATAATTGAAGGATAAACATAATTAGGAATGAATAACATAAAGTTACATAAGGTATTAAAATATACAAGAGATCTTGAAAAATGTCATTAAACTATCCTAATATAATCATCATCTACTATCTTACTCACTTTTCTATTCCATTTTGCATCTGCATACACAGTTTTGTCTTATTTTGGTAATTCGCGACAATTTTCCCATTGTTTCCCCAGTAAAACAAGCTTAACGTTTCTTGTTACAAAAAGCTTCTTAATGTGCAACTTGATCAACCCGAACCATGTTAATCGAAAATTCTACTTTGAGAGCTTTTCCCTAAATATTATAGCAACTCCTTATTTCTTACCACTGTTTCGAATGTATTAGACTATATATATCCGAGCACATTTGAGAAGTAACCGAAGTATTTAACATAACATTTAACAAATAAAAAATTCGCTTAGAAAATCTTGAACTGATATCTGATTGAAAATTACGGTTACTTGATGCTTCAGTTAGTTTCTAATTACTAACACAGACAATGTTTAAAAATATTTAAATTTATGTGAGAAGCGAAATTGGCAGCAGAAGCTTTGCAGCGCTTTATAATAAAATCGATACGAAAAAAGAATCATTCTTTTTGAAAGTTCAAGAAATATATTTTTGCGCAAGAGTCTAATCCGAAACAGAAATAACACTGTTATTTCGTATATAGCAAATGAGAGCAGAGATTTATCCTTCACATTGCCTCTGGAAGTGTGAAAAGAAAATTTGAAGTAGTCTCTGAGTCATATGCAGAAGTATCTTCTGACACTTGAGATTTGCTTGCTACTTATTTTTTGAAGTTATTTAAGAAGCTTCAAGAATAATCAAGCATTGTGTGAGAGCATTTATAGTTACCACAATTTTACAGCTTGACTTTAGAAAATTCAGTTAGTGTTCGCTAATCTATAAATGACAT